TTCCAGATTCTCTAAGAACATAAACCTTCATTGCTAGACTGATCTACCTATGACTTTCAACTTAGTAAGACTTGTAATCAACTACTGTGGCAATGGTTCTTATAAGCAAAAATGTCATATGGTTAGTTCCAAGAAAAACTGACAGTTTCAAAATTTTGACTCTATAAAACAGGTTTTTGACTCAACTTTAAGACTCTATAGGCATGACACAAAGCACACAACGTCGGTAACCACCTCCCCCAGACTTAAACAACACTTTCCCCAGTGTTACCAAGCCAAGAGTTGGTCAGAAAAATGAATGAGAAGTCAAAAAACCAAGTCAGAAAACTGTTACCTCGCGTGGGGTCGGGTGACGAGCGTCACCAATCTGGTGATGAGCGTCACCATGACCTGTATTGCCCAATTGTTAAGTTAGATGTTAATTAACGAAGTGTGTCATGTGTACTCGAAAGTTAGACTTTTTGAGCACTCAAACACATAATTAACAACATCCAAACATAGCAATAATAACCTGGTTCAACAATCTCACAAAACATCATCAAAGAAACTGACAACTGACTCAAAGAAAACATAAAAAATGACTCAAGAGAAATAAAAATAAAAGAGGAAAAAGAAACAAGTAACCAGATAGTAGAGCCTCAGTCCTCATCCTCGCAAGGCTCAGTGGTGTAATGGGGGCGGACACAACCACAGTTGCTAAGTGTAGCAACAGGATCCCAGAGTCCCTCAAAGCTGTCAATGACATACTCCTGAAAAGCAGCCATATCCATGGGTGTATGTGGTCGTGGACGACGCCTAAAAGCAGTAGAGGAGGTAGTCTGGCGTGTGGATGGTCCAGCATCATCAGCAGTTGCAGTAGAAGCAGAAGCACCAGCTGTAGCAGCTCTAGCAGGGCGCAGAGCCAAAGGGCGCAGCAAAGTTCGAGCTGACATGAAGAAAAGCTGGCGTGGAACTCCCTGAATCGTAGTGAGGGCTCTCTGTGGCAACTTAATGCCAACATACTCTCCAGAAGTAGTAGTGAAAGTCCAGACAACTCCAATCTTCAGCCAAGTGACATGGCGCAGATACTGGTCATCCATAAGTGATCTATCACTGCGCAGACTGCAAGGAGTGACATCGATCTGGAAATGATGAAAGATCGGTGTCAGAAGGCTGCCAACACTCTCGGTCTTCTCCCCCGGATTGGTGAATGGCTTGGTCTTCAAGGAGACCAGATGCTCAGCGAAAACAGCGCCCAAGTTGGCGCGAACCATGTTATCGATAGGGATCACATCATCAAGCATCTCATAAAGTCCGTAGTAGAGGAGAATCAGCTCACTAACCCGAGTCTTGCTAGGCGCAGACTTGCACAAAATGGTATGGCCAAAGAGGCGCAGAATGTACCTCAAGACAGGATGGCGAACCTCTGTCTGCGTGCTAGTCTTGCTGTCATAGACTCCATTCCCGAACTTGGACCAGAATTTCCGCATATGAGTCCACTGAGAGGGAAGGAGAACGTCTGTGGGATGGTCAGAGAAGCCATAGATCCCACAAAGCTCCATCAGACTGATCCGGTATCGAACCCCTCGGATCAGAAACGTCATCGTGCCTTCCTGCGCACACTTCGCCAGCTCATTCGCGTAGTAGACGCGAACTGTAGAGAGAAACTGGCGGACCAAATCTGGGTAGAGATCATACTGCTGGAATGGCATAGTCTCCATCCCAATGCTCTCCAGAATCTGAACAACCTCCTCGAAGATCCCCATCTTCTGCAGAACAGCAGAATCCGCAAACCGTGTGGGGATAATCTTCACTCCCAGCCACGCATTGTATAATAGCGTGTCATACTCTGCAAATATCCTTCATACTTGTAATTAATGGAACTTCTGGGACAACTCTGCAAATATCCTTCATACTTTTAATAAATTCACCACGCTCCTTCCTTGATGGGTGACGAGCGTCACCAAGGGTGGTGACGAGCGTCACCATATGAGATACTTTCTGCTTCGAGCTTGGTACTTCGTGGCTTCAACTCAGAATGCTCCAAAAGGTTCCAAAATCTCCAATTATGCTCCAGACATGCTATAACCTGCAAAGACTCTTCTAGGACTCTAAATAAACAAAAAGACTCAATAAAAAAGACTTATATCATGGTTAAAAACCATAAAAACCATGATATATCACCCCTCTACACTCAGAATTGGAGGCGCTGATATGGAGTATGCACTCCATGTTGGACGAAGGAAGAGTGGAGGTAACTTTTCAAACAGATTATTCAGAGCTGGTGAAGATGGTAATGCAACCAGAGGATTAGCCGGCTTTTGCAATACACCTGGAGGAGTTTGAAAAAAGCAGACAGGAGTTTGCCCGATTCTCGATTTCACAGATTTCACACACACATAACACATAACATGAATACAAACAAATTAATACGGAGTACTCAAAAAAATCTTTACTATGTATATTATATAAATTCAACTCTACCGAATTAGCTACCAAAAATTTTCTAAGAGCTTTGAAGCTATTAACAAAAAGAAAAAAATATATATTACTTTTATCGAATTAAAATAAGTAAATAAATTCGTTAAACATGATTTTAGAGCTTTAAACAAAAACAGAAGCAAAGACAAAACATATCCCAACTTCTTAAGGCCAGCACATATTTTCTCTACTTACCATTTAACTTATTTCTTTGTTCTTTCTCTTATAAACTTTCAAAAACTTTAATATTAAAACGATAATACTAAAGTCATTTACTAAAGCCTTAGACACACATAACTATTTTGAGCTACTGGCAAAAAGTGCGAGTGATTTTCGTACTAAAAATATTTATTATACTTAATGCTTTGAAAATTATGAAGATGTAATTAGTAAGTTTGATGCCACCCTCAAAACTTTGACAGTTAGTAGAAGTTAAACTTTAAAATCACAGCTGCGATAATTTTCTACTGTCAATTTAGACCTCTACTGTCATTAAATGCCAAAGCTTTCGTATTTGATTATACTCTAATCGTTTTTTTAACTAATGCAGTCATTTTGCCCAAATGAAAAAGAAAACAATTCTGTGGATATTAATAATATTATTTAGTTTTCTTTTGTTTTTAAATCGAGCAGTTTTCAAAATATTCTAACTGTTATTTTCACTTTGCCTAAAATATGTTTGAAGTGCAAAAGTGACATAAACCTTATCCGGAACAACATTCCCAGGATAGAGGTGAAAATTGCGGATAGGGATATCAAACAGATCGATAACTCGTGGGCTTGGCCTGTTTAGGTCTACCGTGGGGCGGGTGCGGACAAGATATCTAGGAACCATTAAGTAGCGGGTCTTGCGGTTTTGTCCGTCGTGGATTTTGGACTCAGCGGGTTTAACCGTCACGGGCTGGCATATCAACAAATTAATACCGCAGGTTTCAAGTTTTGTAAAAAAAACAAAGCACCGTATTGCTTTTGTAATACAGAGCAATGTAATTGACAATTTGGTTCTAATGAACCGTATGGTTTACACCAACAAAACCAAACCAAACAATTAAAAACAAAACTTAAAGACCTAAAACTATTGATCGCAAAACAGAATTACGGAGCCGACGATACTTTGAAAGAGAAACACTCACAAAGTCACAATTAAGAATAGAGAAGAAAGAAATACTCACTTTACGGAACTGTTTTACAAGTAAAGTAAGTCGACAACAGAGATATGGTGAGACAAACTTGAGATAATATCAAGCATTGTTTGGTAAAGCGGGTGTGGACATATTAGGAGTGAACCGCGATCCGTGCGGATCAATCCGCCACAGTTTGGAAAAAAACAGTGACCGCTGTAGTGTGGTTCATATGGGGCGGGTTAGCCCGTTTTGACACACCTAATTTTAGGGGTGGAAAGTGCCGTTTCGTTTCCTGGATCAGTGGCAAATGCAAAACACTGGTTGCTCTTTGACACGTGGCGTCTTCAGAGACCAGTAGCAACAGATACACCACGTCATCTCTACAACTCAGATTTTTGCTACGCTTATCTTAAAAACCAAAGATTTCTTGGTGCCACATCATAAGACTCTTATATGTGGCGCTCCAAATGGATACACCATAGAAATTAAAAGTCAAAAACACGTAAGCCATTAGCCAAAATCTATCACCTGCATTTTCACTGATCCTACTTTATTGAGTTTATTCGCAGTCGGTTCTAGAAGTTGATGCTTCATTTATATAGGTGCTTGAAGGTATTCCTGTAAAAGAAGACGCATTCTCTGATTTTACTATTGAATTTATATGAATATTCTCTACATTCTTTAGTGATAGGTGCTTTGAAAACAAAAATATTTAAAGAGTTGAATATTTTCAATTTTTAAATATAGTTATTGATCTTATTCACTTAATTTACTTTAATGATATTTATTATTAAAAAATTAATTAGTATTTAATAAAAATAAAAATATTTATAAAAATTTCTTAATATGTATGAAAACCTGTATTATCACAGACTTATAAATCAGAAATCGATAAGTATAACTGTTGTATACATCTTTGATGGAAAAAGTGATATTTAAAATTTAATTGTGCCTTTTTAGAGGTGATGCTGTGATTTTTATTAGACACCCTCATATTTTTAGTTATGAACATATTCCAAATTGAAAACATAGCAACCTGACCATATAAAAATAACTGCACAACAAGATTAAACAATTTCTCAGATTTAGTAATATATCAAAAAAATGTAGCAGCTTAATCAAATTTATGAAATTGCATTACAAACTAATCTATTTTTTCTATAAAATAAATTCATTAATTTCAACAATTATTTTCAGAACGGAAAACTACATTACAAAAATCAATCATCATTGCTAGAATTTGTTCTGTACTATGAGAGTTTTTTTATATAAAAATTGCTTTACAATGATTTGCTACAAAATTTTCGACGAAATTATATAATAGTAGCTATTTCGATTTTATAGTGTTTAACAATTTTGTAAAAATTACTCACAACTTGATTGTATTGCAATTTAAATCATAATAGATACAATACAATTTGTAGCAAATTCGTTTTAATTTTGTTACATATAATATCACACAATATCCGTTTTGGAGATATACAAAAAGCTCCTTCTCTCCTTACATCCCTTAGATGAGGAACGACCTTCACATCTAACGTCTCAATTTGGTCATAGAGTTGATATGGTCTGTCAAAAACTAAAGGAGTGTAAAGCTGCTTATGCTGAATTTGATTGGCCAACTATGTTATCTCACTGTTGAAGAAGATGCAGATATGTGCGCTCAGCTCTATAAATATAGAGCTGAAACATATCTGAATTGGATGTCATATACACCCAAACGAAGCAGTCGTGCAATCTTCTCATTCTAAAGTTTTTAGGTGATTTTTTTTTTATGTTGACATCCTCAGTTTTAAATGACCTTCCGTGCTTTGTGAATGTTGGATTTACAAGATAAGAGATATATGTAAGCGTGCTGATGAATTCTGTAATTGTTTTACATGTTTTTTTTTGGTCAAGACATGATTTAATTTAATCCCTCCAATAATTTAATTTAATCCTTAAAACAATAGTTTAAGCAGCGTTCTTCAGAATATATATAAAATCTCGTCTCGGGTTAACACTTTGTGCTAGACTGGGTCAGTTCTCTCTCTCTTTACTCCTGCAATTCGCATCCTAGGGTTTGTCAATTTTCGTATCCACTTTCCATGGCGCGTCTGTGAAGCAATGGCGGCAAGCTCCGCAGTTTCTCTTCTCGATATCAGGCTCCGGCGATTCGGCGTCGGCATAAGTAATCATGAATTGCACCTGAGGAAGTGGAGAAGGAGGCTACTATGGTTTGATGGCTATCCGGCGAGGCGATTGAGCTGCTCCGCAGTGCTGGCACCGATCCGCCGCTCTGGCGGTTGCGAGAAGTCGGAGGAACGACGTTTCGATCAGAAGACGAGTGCCCACGGAGCCGGAATCAAAACTTCCTCCTCTGCAATGCCATTTGCATCTCCAAAGTATGTTATTTTGCAAAATGGACTTTGATTTCGCTGGTCAATTCTGTTTTTCTTCTACTTTTAGCACCAAAAACCTGTTCCAAAGCAGCAGTGATGGCAATTTATGCTTCTGGCTTGTTTTTTTTTTTTTTTGTTTCCTCTCAAAAGCATCTAAGAAATGTGAAGTAGTCTCTTCATTTCGATTATGCTAAAACGAATTTTATTATTCATCAATGTCGCTCTTAGTTTAGGAATCTCTTATAGAAACATAATCACTGCCATTTTTTGGTATTTGTTTTTTCAAGGTGCTAAAATGCTTCTTTAATGGCTGCTTAGGAAGTTTTTTGATGTGAGTCTATTGACTATTGATAGTCCCCATTAATTGTGGGTTTTGGCAGGTCTCGATTTGTGTCAAAGCAAGAAAAGTTCTACCCTCGATGTACTCCAAGGCTTACTGGCCCTCAGTCCCGTGATACTCCGCCTAAAAGAGGTGTGTTTATCTGCATTTCCAGTCATATTGCTTCTTTTTGTGAATGTAAAGCCCATGCCAAGTTTAAATTGATGAACTGTAGAAAGTATCAGATGTCTTCCTGATAGATTTTTTTTTGTCATTGTTGTAACTGTAGACACCGGGATTGCTAATGAAAAGGACTGGGGCATTGATTTGTTGAATGAGAATGTAAATGAGTCGGGCAGTAATGAAGATGGCAGTACTTGGTTCAGAGAAAGTGGACAGGACCTGGGAGAAAATGGGTACAGATGTAGGTGGACAAGAATGGGCGGTCGATCCAATGATGGCTCTTCTGAGTGGACAGAAACGGTACATTTCGTTTCTCTAGAGTTAAATTTGACAAAATTCCTTGGCTTTTCTTCTCATTATGGTCATTGATATCACCATACTTGAACTGTTGACCATTGCTTGCTTCGTGAGAAAACCTTGTGACGTTAAGAAAAAGCAAAATTTTAGAGGATTTATGCCATCTTAAATACTGGGTTTGCATTCTTATTATTCCATATTTTATTCATCTCTGAGGTTATTCTTCGTAACCTCATGAAGTATCACCCCAGGTGGACGCGTTTAATCGGATTTATTGGTATCCTTGACAGTGGTGGGAGAAAAGTGACTGGACCGGATACAAAGAATTAGGTATTATACTCCTATCCTTCTCCACTTGAAATTATTCGTTTCTTATTGTTTCTGGAAAAGATCATCTCTATCTTAATAGGTGGTAGAAACTAGGAAGCGTTTTCACGAAGTTGCTCAAAATGGAGTATCGAAATGGTGTTGTTCCTCTATTGAAACTGTTAGAAATTGACTTGTTACCTAGTTCATGTTGCCGCACTTCTTTTTCTTTTCCTCCTTTTTTCCCTGGGGTTTTCTTACTATCCTTGACAGTGGTGGAGTGAACTTTTTGTAGGTGTGGAGAAATCTGGTAAAAATGCTGAGGGTGACTCTTGGTGGGAAACATGGCAAGAAGTCCTTCATCAAGACGAATGGAGGTCTATGTTCTAACATTCACTTTGCAAGATTTAGCATATTTGCTATCGTTGCGAGATTCTGACTATGCTCTCATTGTAAAACTGATCAAATTTCAGTAATCTAGCGAGAATTGAAAGAAGTGCACAAAAGCAAGCAAAATCAGGAACCGAAAATGCTGGTTGGTACGAGAAATGGTACGACAATAACAACACAGCTTGCAAATATTACCTTGCAGTGTCTGCTTTTGTTTGATATAACAGAGAAGCTTATGCTGCTGGACTAAAACCACCATTCACTGAAAACCAGGTGGGAGAAGTACGATGCTAAAGGGTGGACCGAGAAAGGAGCACATAAGTATGGTAGATTGAATGAGCAGTCATGGTGGGAGAAGTGGGGGGAACATTATGATGGAAGAGGATCTGTTCTCAAATGGTTTGCTCTAACTACTCTATTATATTTTTACTAGCCCTGCACTTTTCGCTTACTGATAAAGACATACAAGAGCGATAAGCATCCTAATGACCCACATGAGGAGTTACTTGAACATTATTAGTCTGAGAGACTTGAGATCAAAGAGATTGTGTTAATGGTTTTGATTTTGTTATTGGTGAATTGTTCAGGACAGACAAGTGGGCTGAGACAGAGTTGGGGACCAAATGGGGAGACAAGTGGGAAGAGAAATTTTTCGGTGGGATAGGTTCACGTCAAGGGGAGACATGGCATGTATCACCTAACAGCGACCGTCAGTTCCTTCTTCTTCTTCGTCTTCCTTACATTCCCTCATTAGACTATGTTTGTAATCCGATTATTTCGCACGTTTCTAGGTTGGTCAAGGACGTGGGGAGAGGAACACTTTGGAAATGGGTAAGGAATGCCTCGAATGTTTGTTTTCCTTGGCATTTTTAGTGTATATTACATTTCGAAATGAATCAACAACACGCATAAATATAAAGGTCTTTGATTGCAGAAAGGTTCACAAGTACGGAAAGAGTACGACAGGAGAAAGCTGGGACATAGTGGTGGACGAAGAAACATACTATGAGTAAGAGAAGAGAGTGCTTTACATCTTAACAAGTGATTATGTGATTTGTGGTTTTACTAATCTATCTTGGGATCATGTTTTGGTGAAGGGCTGAGCCACATTATGGGTGGGCAGATGTGGTGGGTGATTCAACACAGTTGCTCTCGATCCAACCTCGAGATAGACCGCCCGGTGTTTACCCGAACCTCGAGTTTGGGCCATCTCCGCCTCCTGAGCCCGACCAACCACAATGACAGTCGTCTCTGTTTGTTTAGCTTTTTAGCCCTTTTTGCCTGTCATTTTTTTTGGTTTGTGAATTATGGGTTTAAATAATATAATTCTAATCCATTGGATCTCACGCCCATATATTACAGATTTCTTGATCAAGTATTTATATCCTTGTCCTCTCAGACACTCTGTTTCTCGATCATGCTGAATCATAAATAACTTAGGGATGTTATTCAGCCATAAATGTTATTAGAGAGTTTAACTATACTGGACTAATTCATTGTTATTCAATGGTTGATTTTAGCTTCTTGATTAAAATATACTGTTATTTGTGTATTTTTAATATATTTATTAAGACCATCTTCAATGATTTATTTAAAGATTTATTATTTTTATTCTAAAAATAGAGTTTTTATTTAACTAGTTATTACTATTATAATTTTATTTACGTATAAAAATAAAACATATAATTTTTGTTTAGTTACAACACATAAACATATCAAAACTAAAAGAATATTTTGTGAAAAAAGTTTTACTTTAATTTAGAATTACAGATAATATTTTTTATTTTTAGAATAACATATAAATTATTATTGAAGATGGTTTTACTCTGAAAATATATTTCAGAAGCAAAAATAGAGTTTCATTGGAAATACTCTTAAATAGTTTGAAATCTAATATGTTTAGTTCTTATATTTACAAGATATATATTATAAGTGTTTGAAATCTATATTTTCCAATTAAATATTTGAATGATTAACTGAAGTTTTGTGTTATCATGTTTGATAAAATTTTAAATTACTTTAGAGTAAAAGAGTGAATGAATTTAAAAATCAGGTATACCCACCTCAACAACAATAGTAAACTGGTCAATCAAGACATTTTGTGCCCTACAACAACAACAATCAAGTCTTTCAACAAAGAAACAACAACTTCCAGCCTAGAGCACGTTTCAACCCTCCAGGATTCAGTGCTCAAGGATCTGCTCAAGCCTCCTCCAGCACTCCAAACTGTGAGATCAAGAGTCTCATCCAACAAGTGCTTCAATCTCAGATCAACGGTATCTTGGAGATGAACAAAAAGTTTGTTGTGGTGCACAACAAGATAAACTCTATTCATGTGGAACTCACAAACAAGTTCGATGGTCTAGGTGCAAGAGTGAAGGCTTTGGAGAACAACAAAGGAGTAGCTAGTGGAACACGCCCTCAAGGTAACCTTCCAGGAAAGTGTGAGATGAATCCCAAAGAGTATTGCCAAGTTGTTGAATCTAGAGATGCTTACACCACTGCTGAGGAAGAAGCTATTACAGAAGATTTCTTGTCATTTCTCAATGCGGACATTGATAAACAAAGTGAGGGGGAAGACCTTGTCCAAGTTTCTGATGTTAAGAAGGAGGTTCAAGCTGATGTGCTTCCAGTTTAGCAGCCTGACATTCCATTTACAGGAAGATTCAAGCATGAGCTAGTCAAGAAGTACTCAACTCTTTATTCTGCTCAAATGGAGATGAGAGGTTTAGATGCTGAAGAATAACTTGGGAAAGTACTAGCTAAGGCTGAGGAATCAGAGGTTAAGGAGCTGAACATCAAGAAGCTTGGAGATCCTGGCTGCTTTTCTCTTCCATGTGAGCTCAAGGGGAGAACCTTTAAGAGTTGTTTGTGTGACTTGGGTGCTAGCATCAATCTGTTGCCATCAACTACAGCTAAGGAGTTGGGTTACACCAAGTTCCAGCAGAGCATTGTGTCTTTAACCATTTCTGATGGCACAGTGAAGACACCATTGAGAGCCCTCAAAGATGTGCCTATGATGATTAAGGGAGTAACAATCCCAACAGACTTCTTATTCTTAGATGTTGAGGGAAAGATCAAGAATGAAAGCATTCTAGGAAGACCCTTCTTAGCTTCAGCCGGCGTTGTCTTTGATGCCATGGAATGCACTACAGAGCTTAGGCTCACCAAGGGTAAGGTCTTGAAGTTTGATAGCAAGGGTAACAAACTAGAGCATGATCATGCTTTCTCCATAGAGCTGAACAAGATGAAAGGAGTTGATAAGAACTGGCCTGAGTTTGAAGGCTACACTGGAGAGAGCTTTGATGGCTGCTGCTTGTCAAGGTTGTTTCAAGACACTACTGAAGAGGAGGTCCTCCAAGTGGTTAGTTAAAAGAAGATGAATGAAATTGTGCTGGTTACTGAAGAAGGAGAGGTAGTTTTAAAACCAGTTGGCTCAAAGAATGGTGAGATCTACTACAAGATGAAGCAAGAGGGGAAGTCTAAGCCTTTTGCTGTGTTCAAGATGAATGGAGTTACCATAAGGGTCAAGGGGAACAAGGTGCCACTAAGGAGTTCCAAGACTCCTTCTCCTTACTTCCACTAAAGAGGTAATCAAAGTCAATCTTAGTGACTTTAAACAAGCACACTTGAGAGGCAGTCCCATGGTATCCTTGTACATAGTTATGCTTTTAGTTTATGTTTTATGCAGTTTTAGTGTTCTTAGAAGCAGGAGTTTGGATAAAGGGATGAGAAGATGTTTGGGGAACCAAAGAAGATGCATTTTGGTTAACATCGAGCTCCAACATCGAGCATGCCAGCTTGAATGTTGGCTCCATCAATCATGAACATCGGACAAAGGAGCTGGATGTTGTGTGAAACAGGATGCATCGGGCATATGCATCCATCACTTATGATTGATGTGGGAAGGGAAGTGTGTCGGGTTGATCACATCGATCATGTACATCGTACGATGTAATCAACCCGAGAGTCAGGAGCTCAACATCGAGAATCAACATCGAGCATGGGTGCTCGATGTGCTTAACATCTACCTCTCACATCGAGCAGTCATGCTCGATGTCAACACCCTGTGATAGGGCTCAAGTTTTACCCAAATAAAAACTACTGCAAGTGCACAGCAAAGCAGTTGTAGTATAAGGGGTTATCGAATCCCAAGGGAGTATGTAAACTACATTAAAGAGTTCATGTTCGGATAAAGCTAAGCAATAAGTAATGAATGTAATGCTAAATAGTAAAATAAATGTAAGTGGGCGTTTTATGCTTGATCTTAAAGTTCAGAAAGCTAAAGGCGCTAAGTCAGGACAATTCGCAGGTTGAATCTGAGAGTGTAGAATGCGTGAAATCAGGAATGAATTAAAACCGTCTTGATATCGCAAAGATATAACTAATCAATTCTCATTGCAGAAGTTAACTATGCCTAAATCACAGAGTTTCAAATCTCTTTGCAAACCTTAACAACCTAAACATGCAGTAATGATCAGATTCAATTGTTCACAAAACTCCTAAGCTAAATCTCTTTGAACTAAGTTGTTTTGATCATCTAATGCTAGATCAGCTGATTAATAATGCTCTCACATCTATCAAACAACCTAGGGTTTCGAAATCCAAATGATGTGTCTAAGAAATCGATATAAATGCAAGCACAAATGAAGAACCAATGGATTTCCTATAAGTTTAGCAATTCTACAAACTCTTCTTCAACCTTTGAAAAGCCCTAACTTACCTACTACTCAGACATGGTGATTTGAGAAAACATCATGAAAAGAATAGATTGAATAAAAGAAATAAGAAGTAAAGATGAAGGAGTTCGAAATATGCTCTGAAGGAGTCTGATTTGTCTCTCCAAAAGCTCTGTTACAAATCTCTCTCTAAAGCTCTAAAAAAGAATAAGATACAAGATATCTGCCAAAAGAATGGCTGAAATACCTAATATACAAGGTAAAACACGATTTGTGGCCTTTTTGCAAATACTAGAACTTCTGGGCCAATACTGCAAATAATGCTCCTTCTTTTAAAAATAAGGCCATGACCCTTCCTCTAGGGGTGAAGAGTGTCACCAGCTTGGTGACGAGCGTCACCCAATGCATACTTTCTTCTCCGAGCTGGACACTTTGTGGCTTCAACTTGCAATGCTCCAAAAAGCTTCAATATCTCCAATTATGCTCCAGACATGCTATAACCTGCAAAGATTCTACTAGGACTCTAAAAAGACCAAAACGACTCAATAAAAAGGACTTATATCATGGTTAAAACCATAAAAACCATGATATATCACCCTGTGTGCCAAAAACTCTTTTAAAGGTACCTAACTCCACTCCTTTCTTATGCAACCTTTTGTATTCATTCTTAGTATCCCTTATCACCCTCCTTCAAGCTTCTATTACAGAGAGGACTGTGTAATTTAAGTGTGGGGGAGGGCATTGCATTTGACATTGTGTTTTGTTTTCTTTTTGCATACTTGAGTCTCATGCATTCACCTATGTGCACTGAAAATCCATAAAATTTTCAAAATTTTGGAACCAAAAATATGATTTAGTTGCATTTGCATAATTAAGATTGAGTCTAGATGCATTTCATATAGCTTTGCATACACTTGCATAGGGAGTAGATGATAAACACTTGTCAAGATGTCAATGTTTGAATTATTTTCAATGCCTTGGTTATCTATTGTTTGATTGCATAGTAGTGAATTTCAATTTAAGGCTGCACCATATCTTGAATTTTTGCATTGATATTCTTGTCTTATCCTGAAACTTGCTTTGATTTGATTCCAACTCTATCTTATTAGAACCATAATCATGACTATGAATTATCTTGTTTGTGCATTGAAAGTGATTACATGGATACCTATATATATACTTGGATTATCTTCTTCCCTTCTTACCACTCTTGTTAATCTAAGTAGCTGATACTCATCATTAAGGGACAGTTAACCACACCCTAAACCAACCATTCTTTCTGAACCTAAACACTATTGTGAGAGTTGTAAGGCCTTGCATTGCATCATTTTCGATTTTATCATGGTAAAAAGTGTTAGGAATAAGGCTGTCAAGAAGAAGCTCTCTTGTAGATATCAGCTTACATTTTGATCTTGATTCTAGGTTAGGAGTTTGGGTAAAATGGTAGTGTTAAGTGGTTTAAGTTTAATTGTTTACATCTTTTAAGAAGAAGAAGAAGTACGAGAATGGTAGTAAGGGGAAACCAAGTTAAGTTTGTGGTTAAGTTATTAAGGGAAAATAGCTCTAAGTGTTAAAGAAAAGAAGGTGCCAACAACAGCAATGCTTTCAAAGGTCATCCAAAAGGAGAAATCAGACCAAAGCAATCCACCAAAGGTGATGAGAATGGTGCCTAATCAACAAAAGAAGGGCAAGTTCCAACAAAAGAATCAACCACACAAGCAAAGAAGAAGAGTTTCCCCACACATGAAGAAGAAGATGACCAAGTTCTTAGGGAAAGGGTAGACTTAGGAGATTCACTTTGGGTTTAGGA